CTACGTGTACTGTGTTAGGCTAACCGAGACTTGTCATTTGCACTTATATATTGTTGCTCTTTTGTTAGTTTTGACTGCTTTTATTGTCCTCATTTGTAAGTCGCTTTGGATAAAAGCGTCTGCTAAATGACTAAATAAATAAATAAATCTAATGGTTTCTTTCAAATAAACAATATAAGATATATGAAGTACTCAGTACTGAAATCAGCTAAGTGACAGTATATGTTGCACAAGTTTAAAGTCTGTCTCTCCGGCCAGGAGATAATAAAAGGACATAATTAATTTCCATTTTACAATTAGATATTTCCTTTATGTCTATTTTACATTTACATTCAAGGTCTCACGTTCCTCAACTTAGAAACTCATTAAATTGTTATGACAAGTATGAATACAAAAATGGCATCCTCTGACGCCAGGCTTACATAAAGACGTGTGTCATATGATGTTAGGGAACTGGTTTTGTGGCCTGACATGTGATGAGCTAACTTTTTATGATTACTTTTTTATTTTACCTGACATAAGGAGTCTTTCTGTGCAGTTTGGGGTTCATCTAACTGACATAAAGCACTGTATAAAACATAATTATTCCCACATTTTCTAGTTTTTCCAAAATTATGTCCTTTGAGAGAATTTCACATCTGGCCACACGAATGTAAGTCTGTAGTAAATATTCAGATATTCAAAAGGTACTTGGTACATGAACACTTTTGTATGAAATATATGTTGTTATAAAAAACACAATGATATATAAATAGGACTGTTGTATAGAATTATGATTAAGGGTCAATGGTAAATACAAATGATAATTTGGAATTGGATGTGTGGTTTGAAACCCCTCTGTTGTAGTTAACTGTATAAAAGAGATATGATATGAGATATGAACAACTGACTAACGACGCAGAGCTAAATTTAGTTAATAAAATGAATTTGTGCATACATGACACACTGAAATGATCAAACTGGCTCTAGCTATTATGTGTAATTAGTGATATTACACAATCAACAAATCTGTCTAAATATTGCCAGATGTATCTATTATCATTTGTTTGTATTTACAGATATGGTTGCCATGAAAAAACTAAAATCAAAACAACTCACCTTTCTTATCCATCAACCACATAAACAACAGCCAGGGCAGGTAACCCACTGGACCCCACATCACCAGCACCGCGATATCTGTCGATGAGAACTCAAACACATGCTTGGCTGAGATCTGGATCGGGCCCCAGGTGTTCCACACAAGTCCTTGCATAAAACCCAACAATGAAAACATGGTGAGAACAAACCATCTTCTCCCGTACACCCTGCTCAACACAGGCTGTGTGTTTGTCGCCGGGTGAGATGGAACCAGCAAAGGCTCCCTTTCTCCTTCGGTGCTTTCCACGGCACCCATTGAAAAGACGTGGGATCACGTTTTAAAATGCCTTTATGCTATCCGGCAACGTCTATAACATGCCACATTAAAAACTAGGGCAGTCGTTCAATTGCCAGCTGCCCATCGAAACAAAAACAACCGATGACACTCTCAGCTACGCTCCAAACTTTAATGCGCATGCGCTGCGTCGAGACGGAATTGACGTAACGTATGAAACCGAAAGTCTTAGTTCTCCATGTTGGATCAACTATGCCGTTAACTTAAAGGAGACTTCAGCACTTCTGTTGAGCCAACATGGCCGCTGTTTCGTTTCCCGTGTGTTGAGAGAAAAAACAGCGGCAAGTCTCACGTGAGTTTTGTTTACTAGCTGGAAAATGGGGGTTCGGTGTGCTTACATGTGTGTAGATTCAAAAATGTAAATATTTGCACTAAATTACAATATTATGTTTATGCAGAGGCTGCACATGCACAGACTATGTGTTTTTACATTTGAATATGAAGTTGTCAGTTCAATTGATAGTTGTCACTTAGTAGCTGATTTGACCTAGATATGGTTTTGACTTTGTGATTCACTTGGGTGATTGTGATGTGTTTATCTGAATGCTTTCAAATGAAACTCCTACAGTTTATCTCAAAGATACGATTTGTGTTGTACAAGACAAAATCCACTCATCTTAATCATCCTTATCTCATTATTTTTATGTAATGTTAGAATGGCTTCAAAACCCTTTACCCCAGAAGAGGCCAGGAGGATTGTCCAGTTTCTACAGAAGCCTGCTGTGTTCCTGAACATGACCACAGACTGGCCAGCATTGCATTGGACTGTGGAGCATCTGTCAACTTGCCTTACAGAGAGGCTTCGATTCCGTATTGGGAAAAGGACTGAGGATATGGGTAAGCCACAAACATCACCTATCAGCCTCTCATAGGTATTAACAAGATCATCAGAGTAGAAGAACTCCATTTGCCCAGGACATCATTTTTAAGCATAATCAGGATATTCGTTTTTAAATTGAACTGACAGGTAGTTATGTGTTATGGTGTTACTGACAGGAATAAAGTAAGCGTGGTCAAATGTGGAAGTGTAACAGAAACAAAATGTTAAACATGTTCTGTGGGGGTGTGAATACTTTCTGAAGGTAGTGTACTTAATGGCAGAATATTGTTTTTTAGAATGCTTTGAGTAACTTTTCCCCAAGAGTGTCAACAGAAAACATAGTAATTTCTGTTATTAGATGCCCTCTATCACAATGTGTAAGTTTCCTTTGAAGGAAACTTTATTTTGAAGTTAATTTGTGACACATTTACAGCAAATGAAACAGTGTGATGCGAATAATTGCCAGAAGTGTGAAGCGGTAATAGTTAGCCTTGCAGAAACCTTTGCTACCAGTGGAGGCTTTGCCACTTCAGGTTCCTTGACACTTCTGGCAAATAGTTATGGCAAACCAGTCCATCATAACTGTTAGACTTTTTACTGAAGTGAAATGTAAATATGGGAAGTGAGTATGAAATGTCAAGCAGTGAAAACTGTACTTCTAAATATTAAACAACATTTTTCAGTAATAGTTAAAAACGTAAATATGGTGATTTAGTATATATGAAAAATAAACCATTTCTATATTTAAGTAACCTCTTACAAAATACAGTTCATTTTAAAATATTCAAAGATTTTTCCAGTGTCCATTTAGAATAAACCCTCTTGGAATAATCTATTCATTAATTACCTTTTGCTTTTGTTTCGCTTTGTTTGCACCAGCTCCTCTTTTTGAAACAGAGTGTTTCTACATTGAAGCAACCATTAAAGAGTTTCTGTCCTGGACTGCCAGTGAAGATGAAGCACTTGTTGGGCCATTTTCTGACTATCACTGCAAAGAATTCTGGGCTTATGCTGATTACAAGTACATTGCCCAGCTTTTTCAGGATAAACCTGCCATGATTCAGGTAATCCGTGACAATTCCCTTCTATTACTTTAAAGAAATATTTCATATTTTTATTTTCAAATATTTATTATTATTATTATTATTAAGCAATATGTTGTATTTTAATATATACCTGTATGTATATGAGTATTTATGACTGCTAAAATAAAAATAAATGGACAAGACACTACTCTTTTCATTTTCTCCCACAATCAATCATACTCTCAGACCTCATCAAGCACCACATTAACCCATTTGCCTTTTTCCGCGTGCCAGTTATGCTTGACGGCGACCAATTTTTCATGAAGTGGCGCTCTACAGCACACGGGGCACGTCAATGACATCAGCTTTGATCAATAAACACAGTCGAATATTCATTAGTATGTATTGCCTGGTCTCCCGAGGATGCTTACCTTTATTTTATGAGCGCTCTGAAACTGTTTATTAGCCTACAGTTGTTACAACATCTCATGAAAATTTATCACAGCACTAGGAATAACAGATATGAAGAGCAATTAATCAATTATTGCTGCTTTATTATTTCAGTAAAACATATCCTATGGCACATCATTGTCATTCTGTGGACATTTAATGATATTTTGCGCCAATTTATTTTTTGTTTTTCCCAGCCAAGGGAACAATAACCTAATGTTCATTTCTAGCTTTCAGTTTTTATAAATCATAATAAATGCTTATGAGGTGCCAATATTCTCCCTGCCAGCCAGGGCATCGAGAGCAGACAAGGGCCTCTCTTAAATGATGAATAGGGTAGTTTGAACATTGCTGAGGGCTTTATTACATACCATCTCATTTACAGACCCCTGGACATGGTAATGTTTTTATTATCTACCTTCAAGGGCAGCATCTCTGAATGGTTCTTGTTTGTTATATTGAAAAGAATTGACATCAGTAGGCGATCAAATTGTTTTCTGTTCTTTGTAACCACAAACATTATAACTGCAGGATGTGGTGTGGTCCGACTTTGGCTTTTCTGGACGAGATGGACGAGACAGCACACTTTGGATTGGGACACAGGGTGCTAACACTCCTTGTCACATTGACTCTTATGGTTGCAATCTTGTCTTCCAGATCCAAGGCAGGTAAGAACCAGGTTTAGACTAGGTTTACACAAGTTTTGAGGCAAAAACTCGGTTTTATTTCGTTTTCAATTATTCAGTTTGCTTACATTATTCCATTTCAGTGTAATTTTAGTACCATTTATGTATTTATATTGTATTTATTAATATTTTGAATTAACATTTATTTTTATATATAAAGTTTTCAGTTTAATTTTAGTTTAGGTTTTAGTTGTTTATTTTTGTCATGTTTATTAAGTTTTTTGATATTTCTAAATAGCTTTCATTTATTTTTATTTCATTTTAGTATTAGTAATTTTATTACTTAGTAATTTAATTAAATGACTTCAGCTATAACAGGCTAGATCGATCTTAAAGGTTTTCAATTTAAAATTTATATTTTGTTATTGGATTTATCCATACTTTCAGTTGGTTTTTATTTTATGTTTTCAGTTTTCATTTTATTTTTAGTTAAAGCTTTAGTCTTTTTGCTATGTGCTTTTGTCATTTTATTCATTTTTTATATTTCTATTTAGCTTTAATTTATTTGTTATTTCCTTTTTTGTTTTAGTAATTTTATTACTTTAACTTAAACAGGTAACATTTCTAAGGTTTTCATGTAAAACATTTTCATTTATTTACATAACGTTTTTTTTATTGCAGCTTTTTTAATTAACAAAAGCAGTTTTTAATGGTTTTTAGTTTGAGTTTATTTTAGTTAAGACATCTCACCAATCCATGTTGTGTAAAAGACAGTGAGAGAATATGTTAGATTAGCTTTTTTTCTATTTACAGACCCTAGACCTGTCACAGAGACCGGTGTGATTTCTCAAGACGCCTGTTTCAGTGAAATCTGTCGTGTAGTAGGTAGTAGATTCAATTGAAGTAATTGACATATGTTAGAAACAATATGCCCTCATAAATGCCCCTGAAAATCAATTTCAGGGGGTGAATGTCACCATTTAATAAACGAGAACCCATAACACTGCTATTTTATTGTATTTCTGTGCGCCAATATGAACTCTTGACTTGATGAAACTAGTTTTTGATGACCGACTGTCAATAGACCCCTGAACAAGATAAGCCCCAGGCAAAACTGCCAATTTGGCTTATTCTATGAAGATGGTTTAGAGCAACATCATGTGATTCCTTCAGATATTGACAAGCGCTCTATCTAGTCTTATGTTAGGGTTCCTGATCCGATCCTGAGCTGTTGAAAGAAAGCTATTTATCCTCTGCATTCAAAAGAGCGAATGGGAAACGGAAAGTGCAGTGATGTGTACAGCTATTGAGATATGTTATTTGCTCCATTGGAGAGAACCTTCTCCTCCATCTTATCTCTCTCTGGAGCTTGTCTTGTCTCTGTATTTGCTTATTGGGGCTCCTCATATCAAGATAGCCTGCCACAGAAATCGTGTTATTGTATAATATCTCCTGCGAGCAGGTCCATGATACTTTGAGAAATCTATAAGTATTCCCATTCATCTCAATGGCAGTTGCTTGGTTGGCACCTTAAGTAAATACATAACCTGCATGCTAAAAATGTCAATTAAAGCTAATTCGTCTAGAAACTGACGTTCTGGCAGTTGTTTGTTTCACGCTTTTTACAAGCCACCGAAAAACTGCAGCACTGATAAAAGTTTCTATAACAATGACATATTTGTGACTGATATATTTATTTGGGCACAAAATCTCAATGGTATTTCAATAAAGTCATTCTTTTTGCAGAAAACAATGGCATCTCTTTCCTCCCAATGACACACACTGTCTCTACCCAACACGTATACCATACGAGGAGTCCAGCGTGTTCAGCCAGGTCAGCATCGTCCAGCCAGACCTGAAGAAGTTCCCAGCATTCAGAAGAGCTCACGCCCACACCATCACTCTGCAGCCTGGTCAGGTAGGCCAATATGACATTTTCTAATACACTTCCTGTCAAAAGTTTTGGACACACCTACTAATTTGGTGTATCTGGTGCATCCTGGGATGACATCTTAAAAAACACAAAACAACATTTCTAAAACTAAAATGAAAACTAAAATGTAAAAATATGTATACCATAATAGTATATAAAATACTAAAATAACAGTGGGATTACTTAAAATTACAGTTTTTTAAAATAATTTTATAAGAATATTGTGATTGATGGCCGAGAGCCGTGGGAACGGAGCGAGGCCGGTGGAGTAATTGATAATGAGCAACACCTGCACCATTCACCGGTCTCGAGTCTCACGGAGGAGCTCCAGAAGGATAAAAAGGAGTAACGACAGTGAAAGGAGAGAGGACCAGGCCTGGACTTTATTTATTTATTTTTTAACATTCAAAGGAAACTTTAATAATAAAATCAGCCCCTCGTGGATGACTGTCGTGCACAAACAGAACCAAAACACAAAATAAAGTCCAGGCCTGGTCCTCTCTCGTCTTGCACTGTCATCACTCCTCCTTTTTATCCTTCCGGAGCTCCTCCGTGAGACCGGTGAGTGGTGCAGGTGTCGCTCATTATCAATTACTCCAACGACCTCGCTCCGTTCCCACGGCTCTCGGCCCCGCCCCTCTCGTCACATACCCCCATCGCCCCTCGCGGGCCGGGGGGTACTCACGAGACTGCGCTCTACTCCTCCCCCCTCCGGGGGAGCCGATCACGGCGGCCGCGGCGTACCTGGGGGTAAGGACAGACAGACGAGGCGAGAGAAAAGGAGATGGAAGGATGAGGAGAGACCGCTACGAGAGAGGGGAGAGAGGAAAAAAAATAAAAATTATCGGTCCGGTTCCCGGACACACTGACGCTTGGTCCTCAACCGGCTGAGAGGCTCTCACTGGCGGTGCCATGCGATGGTACTGGATATTGTTGGTGGACGGCCCACCGCTCCTCCGCCTCCTGGTGGACGGCGATGGCTCCTCCTGTTGAGGGCAGCTGGCAGCTGGCAGGTCCTCCCCCGTTCCCTGCTCCTCCCCAATCATGGCGGATGGCAGCAGGCTCCGGCCTCCTGGCGAATGGGGCCAAATCCTCCGCTCCCTCTCGGACGGCAGCCACCCCTCCTCGACCCAGGAGCGCGGCAGCGAGCTCCCCGTCCCACCTCGTCTTCCATTGTTCCTGCACCACCGCCTCGGGCAGCCACCGGCGGTCTCTCCGCTTGTTCCTGCTGCCCGATCTCCTCAGCACTGCGATTCCCCCTCAGCAACGAGGGCTCTCTAACAGCGTGTCCCTCCTTCCTCCCGGGTTTCGGCACCAATGTAACAAACGTTCGTAGTTCCGGAAGAAGGAGGCGGGAACCGGCGAACATTCAAAGGAAACTTTAATAATAAAATAAACACAAAATAGCGCGACAGCCCCTCGCGGACGACTGTCACTCACCAACAGAACCAAAACACAAAATAAAGTCCAGGCCGGGTCCTCTCTCCTTTCACTGTCGTCACTCCTTTTTATCCTTCCGGAGCTCCTCTGTGGGACTCGAGACCGCTGAGTGGTGCAGGTGTCGCTCATTATCAGTTACTCCGCCATCCTCGCTCTGTTCCCATGGCTCTCGGCCCCGCCCCTACTCGTCACAAATATAAATCCAACATGACAACGAAAATGGAAAAAATCGAAAAAGCCCCATTTTAGAATAGTATTAAATAACACAAATGGGAAGTATTTTTATATCCTAGGATGCTTTTTTAAACAGTATTAAAGAAGTTTCCTTTACTATTACCTTCAAATCACCCATAATAAAATAAAGCAATAAGCTCCAAGAAGCCGTGGTTTACAGTGAATTTATAACAGCTAAGGGGTGTTGTTAGGCATGACGCGAAGCAAATAAGCCCCACGGCTTCATGGGGCTTATTGCTTTTATAAAATGGTTATTCCATATACGTAGTTAGGTTTCACAAAATAAAACGGAGCAAATAAAGTGTAATGATATTAATAAAAACAGTATTCTTCCACCAAACAATGTAGTTCCTCAGAAACAATTGTGGCTGCCAAGCAACACACAAAGTAAACAAAGGTGTATGTTTGTAGAGTAATTTACAACAGCTTCGAACGCGGCTCAACCAATCAGAATCAAGGACCCGAACTATCCATTTTGTAATGAACAATTTTCTATTTTATTAATACATTATTATGATAATTATCATAATTGTAATTATAAAAAAAAAAAGTAAATGATATCTGTTATTATTAAATTATTTAATTAAAATGATCTAATTTGATTTATCACAATTGTCCACAAAGCTCATTTCAAATGTGTAATCACGAGTTGTTTGCAAATAAAGAAGCAAAATCAGTCAAGATTGGTCCATAAATTACTGTAGCGTGAAATCATTGATGGTATGTTTCCAAGACATTCGATATAACATTCCCTGAGTGTCTGTTTGGATCCTGTATCACAACAATCGGTCTCCTATGTGTGAATTTTAGCGGCTCGTAGATGAATCACACAGCAGCAGAATAAAGCTGTGTGTGTTTTGTAGCACATCCCCCTCCTTCAGATTCCAGCAGCGTGTGTGAAACCTCTCTGATCAAGCTCTTTGAGAGGCGAGACGGTGGAAAGGCAATTAGCGGCGGTCCAACACAGCGAGCATACTCTCCGGGAGCACTCACACTTTTCACAGCATACTAATGAAGACGAGACACAAACTTCCATTCTCTGAGAGAGCTAACACTGCTCCACTGCCTCTCACTGCAAATACAGGGGAAAAAATCACCAGAAGAACTTTTGAATTTGCAATGTACCCTGAGTTCTGGAAAAAATGGTTTTAACCATCTGGTGCATGTGTGGAAAAAGCCGTTTTGAATCTTTCAGGATGTGATTTACATTCAGTGCCCCGAGCATATTTACCGTTTTCTGTATTCTGAAAGACTCCTACTTGTATTCAATTGTATTCTTGTTTTACAGTCTTAGGAAACCAGTTTTGTTATTGTTATCTAAAATTAAAACTACATATAATTGTTTTTGTTAATTGACATAAAGCTGAAATAAAGTCAAATGAATGATAAAAAAAAATGACTAAAGCAAAAAATATGTTAACAATTATTTAAAATATTATAAATATAAACCAAATGACAAGCACATAACACAATTACTAAAACTTTTAACAAAAATGAAAACTCGGATATTTAAATTACTAATAAATACTTTCTAAATAATAAATAAACCCTCTCTAAAAATAATACATTCACTGAGTGCTCACTTTGTCTTTTCCATGGATCTGTTTCTGACATTTGGCTACGTTTGTTTACTCCTTTGTTATTATTATAGAGACTTTGCTTGGATTAAAAACCACTGCATGTGAAAATCGATTGACCTCATCTAGTCTCATAAATATTGCTAGGATATAGATTTTTTTTATGACCAAAATGATGAGATGTTATACAGAGCACATCTGCCACCTGGTGGTACATACTATTACCATATGCACATCTTTGGATCATTCTGCGTGCTGAACATAATCATCAGGTTTTACAGTTTTTGTAGTTCATGCAGATTGAGTGCTGCTGTCAAAACAAAAGAGGAACAAAGTACTAAGAGCATCTGAAATTCAAGTCAATAATTTAACTTTTCACTGATAAACCGAAAATTATTTTTCAATAGCGCTCACTATAGTGCACCCCTACTGTACATTCACTTAATATAAGTACGCACATTAGGTCATTTTTTGACGTGCTGTTAATATCTTCAGAGTTTTGACTGACTGCTGTGCTGTTATCTTTCATCAGGTTCTGTTTGTCCCCAGACATTGGTGGCACTATGTGGAGTCAGTGGATCCAGTGACTGTCAGTGTGAACTCCTGGATTGAGCTGGTAAGACACTTTATACCTCTGCTGGATTATTTCTTATAAATATCATTGCTTTTTTCATCAAAATGAGATGCTGAAATCAGCAGGCTGCGTTCTCGCTGTGCCGTAGGACATGGATGATGAGGCCAGAGTAAGAGAAGCTCTCACTAAGACTATTGTGTGTTTTGACGTGCTGTTAATATCTTCAGAGTTTTGACTGACTGCTGTGCTGTTATCTTTTATCAGGTTCTGTTTGTCCCCAGACATTGGTGGCACTATGTGGAGTCAGGGGATCCAGTGACTGTCAGTGTGAACTCCTGGATTGAGCTGGTAAGACACTTTATACCTCTGCTGGATTATTTCTTATAAATATCATTGCTTTTTTCATCAAAATGAGATGCTGAAATCAGCAGGCTGCATTCTCGCTGTGCCGTAGGACATGGATGATGAGGCCAGAGTAAGAGAAGCTCTCACTAAGACTATTGTGTATGCCCTAAAAAGTTCCCCCAGCTTTGACAACAACGACCGCTGGCTCAATCCTACTGAGGTACTCACTCCAGCACATATAGACACAGATACAAAAGATTTCTATTTTAACCCTAAAAAAGGGCAAACCCATAAAGAGACATCAGAAAATGTATTTAATGCTATTTTCCATCTTATTGGGACTCAAATAATACAATTTCATGATTTTTTTCAAAACTTGACTCTTATATTTGATTTTAATGTTTGTATCCCCCAGGATACGTTGCTCTTTTGGGGGTATAAATTCACTGGAAACACAACACTTGTTATCAATGCTTGTTACAGCATGGTTGTAATTCCTGAATGTTTTGGAGTACAGACCTAACGTTGGTCTCTTTTTAAAGAAGACACATGGCAGATTATTGCTGAAGTGAAAGCATTTAAAAAAAGAAAGTATAAAAAAGTTTAAGTTTACAGTAAAGATAATGTAGTATACTAATTGTTTTTATTTTATATAAATATTTTATAAAATATCTTCCACTATAAAATTGCTATAAAATCAAAGCCATATGTTTGGAACATAAATCTAACCGATTTATTTTCCAAATTTGAAGTTGATATCACAAACATTGTGGTTCACTTGAGATTTTCTTAGGGCACTATACCAAAAATAACCACTGGGTTACACCCAAACTCTATTGAATTTTTCTAATGCAGTTTTCTGTCACAAATCAATAATTTTCTGTCGTAAGATTTTAAAACATTTATTGCCTTAACCCTAAAAATAATGAAAATAATAAATTTAATGCTATTTTCCATCTTATTGGGACTCAAATAATACAATTTCATGATTTTTTAAAAAACTTGACTCTTATATTTGATTTTAATGTTTGTATCCGATAGGCTACGTCGCCCCTTTGGGGTATAAATTCACTGGAAACAGAACACTTGTTTATCAATGCTTGTTACAGCATGGTTGTAATTCCTGAATGTTTTGGAGTACAGACCTAACATTGGTCTCTTTTTTAAGAAAACACATAGCAGATTATTGCTGAAATGAAAGCATTTCAACAAAAGAAAGTATAAAAAAGTTATAAAATTTTAAGTTTACAGTAAAGATAATGTATACTAATTGTTTATATTTTATATAAAATAAATCTTTTATAAAATATGTTGCATTCTAAAATTGCTATAAAATCAAAGCCATATGTCTAACTAATTTATGTTCCAAATTTGAAGTTGATATCACAAAAATTGTGGTTCCTGTGAGATTTTCTTTGGGCACTATACCAAAAATAACCACTAGGTTACATCCAATTTTTCTAATGCAGTTTTCTGTCACAAATCAATAATTTTCTGTCACAATATCACATCTGTTACAAAGCAGTCACCAAATATGGAATCTTGACTCTCAGACCTTTCCAACGATATGCGTTTTGTCAAGATTACAAAAAGATTTGATTTTCTAAAACACAAGCCACAGTCACACAGTCTATATGTATGTTTTATATTTGGATTTATACCCCTAAAAGGGCGACATAACCCCTGAGATACAAACATTTAGAGACAGATTACAAAAAATATAAGCATTTAATTTATACATTTTCAATGTAAACCTAATAAGCTAATGCTGAACAACAGATTTTTAAACAGGTAAGTCCCCTCCAATGTGTGTAAATATGTGAACTAGATCAACTTTTATAGGAGGGTGAGTAGATTTCCCACTACAGGCGGCCATGCAGTTTTAAATGCTGCCCGTGAGCTAAACAAAGAATGGAGAAACAAAAGTCACCTCATCTAAATATTCACAAGAAACACCCTTTCAAGATGAAACCAAGAAATGAGACCTACGCTTTTCCTGCTTCTCAAATGTTTGTATCCCCCAGGATACGTCGCCCCTTTTAGGGTTAAATAAATGCTGTTCATTTTTTATTCCTGAAGGAATCCTGAAAAAAAAATGATCAGTTTCCACAAACATTTTAAGCACTAGGATGTATTAGAATGATTTCTGAAGGATCATGTGACACTGAAGACTGGAGTAATGCCTGCTGAAAATTCAGCTTTGCTATTACAGAATAACTTGCATTTTAAACTATAATAAAATATATTTTAAACTGTAACACTATTTCACAGTATTACTCTATTTTTATATAAAATACAATTAAATAAATGCAGCCTTGGTGAACATAAGAGACTTTCAAAATAGATAAAAAAAGAATCTTACAGACCCCAAATTTTGAATGGCAGTGTAAGTTTTTGGTGAACTGGCAGCCATTTAATTAAGAGTTTTACTCACCAGGTTTTTGTAGTTTATGCGTAATGACAAATCCATTTTTTAAAAGTATAAATATTCCATATAGGTCTGAACTCACAAAAAGTGAATCTATAATACTGTAAGTGATGACAGATACATGACATTATCTTTAGTCTAGTATATACACACATTTGATTTTATACTGAATAATAATATTTTAGGACAATATGTTGTGGTCAAGATTACAAAAAGATTTGATTTTCTAAAACACAAGCCACAGTCACACAGTCTATATGTATGTTTTATATTTGGATTTATACCCCTAAAAGGGCGACATAACCCCTGAGATACAAACATTTAGAGACAGATTACAAAAAATATAAGCATTTAATTTATACATTTTCAATGTAAACCTAATAAGCTAATGCTGAACAACAGATTTTTAAACAGGTAAGTCCCCTCCAATGTGTGTAAATATGTGAACTAGATCAACTTTTATAGGAGGGTGAGTAGATTTCCCACTACAGGCAGCCATGCAGTTTTAAATGCTGCCCGTGAGCTAAACAAAGAATGGAGAAACAAAAGTCACCTCATCTAAATATTCACAAGAAACACCCTTTCAAGATGAAACCAAGAAATGAGACCTACGCTTTTCCTGCTTCTCAAATGTTTGTATCCCCCAGGATACGTCGCCCCTTTTAGGGTTAAATAAATGCTGTTCATTTTTTATTCCTGAAGGAATCCTGAAAAAAAAAAGATCAGTTTCCACAAACATTTTAAGCACTAGGATGTATTAGAATGATTTCTGAAGGATCATGTGACACTGAAGACTGGAGTAATGCCTGCTGAAAATTCAGCTTTGCTATTACAGAATAACTTGCATTTTAAACTATAATAAAATATATTTTAAACTGTAACACTATTTCACAGTATTACTCTATTTTTATATAAAATACAATTAAATAAATGCAGCCTTGGTGAACATAAGAGACTTTCAAAATAGATAAAAAAAGAATCTTACAGACCCCAAATTTTGAATGGCAGTGTAAGTTTTTGGTGAACTGGCAGCCATTTAATTAAGAGTTTTACTCACCAGGTTTTTGTAGTTTATGCGTAATGACAAATCCATTTTTTAAAAGTATAAATATTCCATATAGGTCTGAACTCACAAAAAGTGAATCTATAATACTGTAAGTGATGACAGATACATGACATTATCTTTAGTCTAGTATATACACACATTTGATTTTATACTGAATAATAATATTTTAGGACAATATGTTGTGCAGACTCAGGTCAGTGCCATGTTTCCTAATAATTAATTTGCTTATCTATTATTAGTTTTTTTTACATGAATAGCATATGGGAATATTTATGTAATGAATGAAGATGTCATATTTACTGAACACCATGTAATTTTAAACCCATGTGCTGTTTCATGACAAAAAGGAGACATTTTGAAGTATCTCTGCAAACGGTGATACCATTTGTGCATTTCAGGTCTTCTGAAGCCGTATGATGAGATTATTTGTATGAGAAACGTGTTGAAATGGGATTGGAATGCCAAAAATGACAGAATTGAAATGTTTGTGTGAAACTGCTTAACTGTACAGTACAGTGTGTCATCTTGATTGTTGTTTCTTAGGATGGAGTTTCTTCACATGATGAAAACATGCAGTATTTGAACCTAGCAGTAAAGGCTTGTATGGACAAGAGGAGAGATGATACTGAAGGCAGGGCCTCACTTGCAGACCAACCCAGAGCAGAGCTGGGAAAACGCGACTCCAGCGGACTGTTAAAGACTCCAACGTCTCTCTCCTTCGCGGTTCCCTTCGGACCTCATCTCATTCCTGTTAATTTGGCTCACAAACCCACATACACCTGCCCAAAGGACACATCTTGTTACTGGTACAATGAGCTGTCACGGTGCCAAAGTACATCCCGAGATGAAGACGAACCAAGAAGTGACAATGAACTTCATCAAAGATCGGGTCCGCATGCACATCAGGAAGCAGGAAGTCCAGGAACCTCAGGAGGAGGTGCTGGTTTGCACGTATCAACCAATGACATGCTCCAGTTCCTGGTACACCCTGATGTCATCACTCTAGTTACAAGGCTAATCATGTGTCGACAAAGAGAACTTCACTATTAATTTGTACTAGATGAACTATTTTTATAAATAAAAGATCCCATGCTAATTTTTTCTTGAATCTATCACTCCTTTTGTACACATTAGTTGTCAACAATGTAATACTCATTTGTTTTCCAGACCCAAAATAATTGATGTAAAACAAAGACTAGATGCGGTCACATTTTGCATGTATTACCTGAATGGTCATTATAACAAGGGCCCTATTCAGACAGACGTAGTTGTTCCCTAATGAGGTTGGGTAAATGTATGTTTCATAAATATGAACTTACTAGTGATTGTAATCCCATTTGAATTGAACAATCTCTGGTTTTCTCACACAACTTCTGTAAAAAGTACATGGCGAATGAAAATGATTTTTCAGCCAAATCGGGTGTAGAAATATAATCCTGTTGGAGGGGAATGTCTGTGACTGTAGTATACAATTTTTTCACAACGCATTTGCTTAATTACCTTCATCACATACTTTAAAGGCATAATTATTAATTTTTTTGGTCCAACGTTCTGTGTAAAATAGCAGTTGGTGGTACAAATGAGAGCTGAAATGTGCAAATGGCATTAGACACTGATATTACTGAAGTTTATTGAACATTTTGGAGTCAGTATGACTTTTTCAACTTACGACTACACATTTGATTTATTTTTTAAGAAATTCATACTTTTATTCAGCAAAGACTAGATTATTTTTTTTACATTACACATTTTTTTATTTCTAATAAGTGTTGTTCTTTTTAACTTTCTATGCATCAAAGAATTCCCCCCAAAAATTTACATTTCCACAGAAATATTGAGCAGTTGTTTTCAGCATTGATAAAAATAAGAAATGATTCTAGAGTACCAAATCAGCATATTAGAATGATTTTTGAAGCATCATGTGACACTGGAGTAATGGCTGCTAAATCTTCAGCTTGGCCATGGCAGGCATAATAAATTACATTTGAAAATATATTAAAATAGAAAACAGTTATTTAAATCGTAATATTTCACAATTTCACTGTTTTTCCTGTATTTTTGATCAAATACATACAGCCTTATTTGAGCATTAGAGACTTCAAAAACAACAATCTTACAGACCTCAAACTTTTGAAAGGTACAGTAGTGTTCATCACACTCTTAACAATTACATTTTGTAACTGCTAAAAAAAACAGATTTTTGTAAGGTACCATGTAAAGTAAAAGCATAATTCCTTCAGCGTAGTAAATTTCTCTTAATTCAGCTGAAATATGATCCCTGAGCAGCAGAGATCAGCATAATGTCACATAAAGGCTCTGGAAAAAAATAATCTGTGTTAACACAGCTACAACATGTCTGATGTGCAAGAAGTTAATTAGCTTATTGGCAATTAATGGATCTGAATTGTTCATAACCAAACCCAGTCATTTTGCTACATCTTGGTTTGCTTCGGCATGTCATTCAAAGAAACTGCCTCATTTTTCTTACTATCAGAACTTCCCACTTTCTCATCGTCTGTGTCCTCTCTGAAAATCTTGTCCAGCTGGTCTGGATCCACATAAGTATAGAAATAGGCCATGATGGAGAAGATGATGCTGACAGCCACCAAAAGGCCAGCAAAAAGGAGGAATTCTGTCCACTGTAGATTCAAAATAATTTTGTCAGTGCAGGATTTATGCATTAAAACCATACAGGTGTTTATAAGAAAGCCCACTGCCTACCTGTTCCATCCCGGCCCCCTCTGCCACAATCAGTACAATGACATTTCCAAATGCCACAGTCATAAGCCATCCAGCCTGGAGAACAGACTTCATGCTTGCCGGTGCCTATTCATAAAAGCATAAGAATATGACATTTATAGACACAAGATTAAGGTACAAGACATTTGATGGACTTACCTGTGAGTAGGAGAACTCCAAACCAGTGATGGAGAACATGACTTCTCCAGCAGTGATGAAGACATACTGTGGAACCTGCCAAGCGATGTGAATATCGTTGGCTTGGATATCCTCCATCTTTTTGAATGTTAGGCCATTACTTTCCTGTGAAAATGAACCATACGCATCAAGATACTGATCCATAAAGGCAGTGCATTTTTTGATTGTTGTTTTTAAATTTTCATTGAATGTATGCCTGTGCAGTCTTTTTTTTTTAAATGTAATATTTGGGGTTGCATGTATCTGATCAAAAATACAGTTACAACAGTAATATCGTGAAATGTAATTACTGTTTTAATATGTATTTAGTATATATTTAATATATTTTCAAATGATTTGATGCTCAAGAAACATTACTAGAACAGGTACAGTGAAGAACAGTGACACCTTTTTTTAAGATTCTGTGATGAATCGAATAGATCAAAAGAACAACATTCATGTATTTATTGATTTATTTTGTATAAAGTCTTTACTATCAGTTTTGATCAATTGAATGCATCCTTTATGAATAAAAGCATTCAATTCTTAAAATTCTTCTTAAATTAAATTCATTAAAATAGAAACTGGTAGTGAACAAGTGAGCAGATGCAGTAGCTTAAACAGTCATTATTGTCTATTTGGTGATGCATGTGGCACAAAAACATTGAAATAACTTGAGGCTGCAGAACTGAATGTTGCATGAAGTAAATATTTTGTAGGTGAAAAATCTCATAGATCAGCAAAAATAGCCTGTAAAAACTTCAGCCAAGTTCTCATTGACTTCAGGCTTTATAACGTACACAGTAACCTATACCTTAAACTGTGCAGTAAAGTAAAAGTTACAGAAAAACATTAACTAGAAACTGAACTCTATCACCCACCTTTGAGAGTATGACAGTATAGAAGGCACCGAAATCAAGAAGTCCCAGGTCGATGTGATATTGGTCAGAGTTTGTTTCGCAAACAACTCCATTGTATCTGAAAAGAGGGCAAATGAACTGTGGTCAGTTGGTGGGGTTACTTGAATCTATATGGATAATAAAATGGATGTAGACTTAAAATACTCACTCTCCCCTAGGTACACTAATATTTTGAGAAATCCCATAATTAGCAGCCGCATAAAATTCATCAGTGCCAACAGTTATGTTGATATTCTTTGTGTGAGTATTGATAAACCTGCAAAAGTAAAATATTCTAAGACAAAAGAGTACTGAAAATGATTTCAGATAATGCCAGTTGTTTTGTCAATGGTTAGCTTGAAGGTATTGATAATTGCAGCAAACACTAAAGTTTAACACTAAAGCTGTTAAACAGTAACTTGAAACAATATAAAACAATGTCCTGGTAGTATTAATTTACCTTAGATACGCAGCCCCGGTTTCAGATTTGGTGATGTGATCTTTCACCTGTATTTAGTTTAATAATGATTCAAATCATTCAAATTATGTATTGTAATGTATATGCTGGTACAACCTTTGCTGATGAAATCTGAAATAAAATTTCACAACTAGGTGCTCACCAGTTTGCATACAGTGTCACCAGGTTGTGCAGTGTGCAGGAAGAGACTGTAGGCAGTCTGTTCTGTGAACGTGAGTCCACACTGGTATTCGGCCCCATTGTGAGTGACAGTAACTGTGTAGAGCTGGGATTCGCCAGTAAGCGGAAGACTTGTGTATCCCGAAGGATCCTGCATGACAAGAATGTCTTCAATCATGGCTCTGAATCAGAATTTAGAGTTGGAACTGTATGACATAAGATCATATTCACTCTTTTGTCAAGTAATATTGATGTATTCTATACACTATTGTTTAAAAGTTTGTGAGATTTTCAAAGTTTTTGAATAAAGTGTATACTTTATAAAACAGTGATACTTATTCTTTCAGGATTCTTTGATGAATTGAAAGTCCAGAACTGTGTTTGTTCTTAACATAAATATTAGTGCTGTCAAACGATTAATCCAAATATCCGCATCCAAAATAAAAGTTTTTGTTTACATAATATACGTATGTGTACTGTTTATTTATTATATATATAAATACACAAACATTCAGTATATATATTGAAAATATTTACATGTATATACATTTATATTATATATAAATATATTTAATATATAAACATAACATTTTTCTTAAATATATACATGCACGTGTTTGTATTTATATATACACATAATAAATATAAACAGTACACACTCATATATTATGTAAACAAAAACTTTTATTTTGGATGCGATTAATTGTTTGACACATTTCTGTCACTTTTGATCAATTTAAAGCATCCTTGATGAATATAAGTACTGGTTTAACCAAACTTTTGAACAGTAGTGTATTATGGTAATATAAACAAGAAAAGACATTATAAGTATGTTAAGTATAAACATCGTAAAATGCAATCAGTGTTTGTCTGTAGTGACGTTACCTCATATGATTTAAGTGGATCGGAGAGGACAGTCTGTCCTGGAAACTGCACGGTGACCTCTGAATCCATAAGATTGTAAACCTGAACAAGGCTTTCTTTGGCAGGAGGTGGCTCCACAACAGATTTCTGGCCAGAGAGATGAAATGTAACTTTCAGTTAATGTTGACGAGCTTTAAATGACTGCTTTTAGTGGTTCCACAGAAGCTCTTTAGATGCAATATTTGAAAATGTACATACAATGACGTTGATTTCTACGACAGTTGCAGCACAGAATGCAAGTGCAGCAAGGATCATGCCTGCAGCCATCTTTCTTAGTGGACTGAAAATGAACAAGGAAAATTGGATAGAACTTAACACAGACTAGGTTAGTTAAGTGTCCTGTTAACACAAATAATGTTTATATCTTATGGTAGGTTATACTATAACATTTTCCCCTGGTCTAATGTTTTCCATCAAAAATGCACAACTGTAAACAACATTTTGTGTATTCATTTAGATTTATTTTATTATTGTGTGTACAATCTCACAAATGCTGAATCAAGAAACATCCTTACAAGCAGGTACTTCAGTGTGTGTATATATATATATATATATATATATATATATATATATATATATATAT